GGAGAAGCACCGAGCCAACAGAGCAATGCTCAAATCCCAGACTTCTGAGATCTCATCAATAATTGTCTTAACACCAAATTTCAGCAGAGCTGGAGGTCTGAAATGCTTTGCAAACATAGAGCAGAGGCTGAGCCCCATCACCCAACAACCATCCCCCACTGCCCATCGCCCATCACCCGTCACCTTAGTTTCTTTCCTGCAGTTCCTTAAACGAGACCCATCCTTGGCTTGGCTTGGTTACCTTCATCCCAAGGGCAAATGTGGGGATTCAGGGAGCTCAGATCCCAGCTGGGCTCTGCAGTGCAGGAGGTGGCCAGAAGCTGTCCCACGTCTCCTAGCGCTGACTCGCACAGCTCATGGACATTCCTCTGTCCGATGGCTTCTCAGCATGGGAAGAGCTCATGACCGTGTTAAAACAGCATCCACAAACTGTACGACAAGCAGCCAAGCACATCCAGGGGTGCATGTTAATTTAGAAAACTGTGGCATTATTCATCCCTTCGTATCGTGCCCATCAGGGATGCTGGAAAAGCTCAGGCACGTCACGCCAGGTCCCAGCTTTGCCTCCAATGCCTGCTGGAAATACAAGATACAAGAAAGATTTTTTTTTTTCTCTCTAGATGGCAAACAATGCAATTTTCCAGCAATTTGAGAGCTATTTGCTGTGCTCGTGGCAGATGAAACATTTCAACGGAAGACCTTAAAGATGAGCCAGGTGCCAACACATGCAGCATTTCCATGGCATGATAGTGCTTGGCAGTGATATTTGGGAGGTGCTGGCCTTTGGCAATGCCATTGTGAGCAAATTGGACTGGGGTGATCGTTGCAGTTGGCTTTGGCCAATGGGGGTTTGCTCTTTTAGTCTTGCTGGATACCTGTAGGCTGAGAATTTGCTTTTATCAAGGGGGACAGTGTGAAAAATCCGATGTATTTATGGAAAATTCCTCTGGGTGCTGCCCTTAACCAAAGCACCGATGGTCTCTGAGCAAAAGGTCTCTTGTATTTGACCCTCATTAATGCTTAATGATGGTGCACGATTCAGGCTCCCAAGACAGAATCTGGCTGCACAATGCTGGGAGCAGAGCAGGACACCTTTCCACGCCAAAGAAAAAAACCAACATTGTCCTTCTGGTAATCTCATTTTTTCAGCCAGCCCGTACCACTCCCCATCCTTAAGGGAAGTTTGCTCCTTGACCTGGGAATCCAGCTGCAAGCTGTGCATCCTCAGGGGTGGGTCTGCCCTCAGCTTTTTCCTCTGATGCCACGATACAATTTCTGCTCTCTGTCAATCAGAGGGGCTGCAAGTGTGCCTGGCCCCAGTGACGAAGAGGAAAGGGCTCGTGCGTCGTCGGGATGCTCCTGACTCACCGATGGCAGCTCCACCTACATGGTCTCACATTTTCCCATAGGGATTTGCAATGCTGAGCAAAGAAGCAGCGCTCGTCATCGGTCCCTCTTCCTGAGAACAGTGCCTCTGCTCAAAGGAAGGAAAGATTTCCCCCCTTGGACAGGAAAGATCCACAGCTTCATGGCAGGATACGGCGGGCTGAAGGGGGAAGGAAGGGGTTTTCTGTGTGAAAGCAAAGAGAATGTGACAAATCTGAGCTGAAATCGTGGCATCTTTGGTCTGCGGTAGAAGTTGGTGGGCAGGTGCATGGGGTCAACCTCAAGTATGGACCTTGGCATGGGAGCAGTGAGTGAGGGCATGGGAGGAGGGATAAACTCCATAAAACAGCTCAACTCCTCTCTTTTTGCCCAATAATTGATCTTTTAAAATAGTTATTTTGGGGTGCTTTGATGCAAGGCCATGCTCTACCCTGTGGCTGTAGAGATGTATACTAGGTATATAGGGATAATTCCTATATATAGGAAAGGATACGGAGGACCTCATCTAGGTCATTAGCCACAAAACCTGATTTGCTACAAATATGAAACTCAAAGCCCACAGATGCCACATTCTCATCAAAGTCATAGCCAGAGAACATAAGTGAGGCTGAGGAGCACATGCGGAGCTTTAAGCAAACACTGCCATATTTTGAAAAAAAAAAAAATATATATATATATATATAATCATACCAGGTTTTATTATGAGCCCATAAATAAGAATAAATAGTCATTTGGACTGCTTAAGTTCCCCAGCAGAGAGGAAAATGATGTTGGGCTGATGGCTCCATGGAGCCCTGGGCCAAGCATCGCGTCTGGAGAGGAGCAATGATTTTGTTCTGTAGCAAAAACAATTAAGCTCCAAGCCTTGAGATGAAACAAAGCCCTGAAGGAAACTCGTAGGAAGCAACAGGATTTTTCTCCTGTCTTCCATAAAATGGGGTTTTGCTTTTAAATCACCATTGTGAACATCTGCCTTTGTGCCCTGAGCTGCAGCATCCATCCCATAGAGGTGTCCCCATGGCCTGGCTCCTCCCCCGGGCAGCACTGGCATCTCAATCTGCCAAAAAAATGAGAGCCAAAGGGGAGTGAAATGAGAAAAAAATTCCCATCTGTGTGAAAATAATTACATCTCCCCCATGAGCTCATTCTGGTTTTACGAGTTTTTCCAGCTGTGGGCTGGAATACAGCCTGTGCCTATCTCAGGTATTTTCTGCCTCAGATTCTTGAACTTGCAGCACAGATCCCTCTGAATCGTGGAGATAAAAGGGGTTCACACCAACATTATCCCTCATGGCAAAGGCAGTGTTTTCAAGGGAGATGCCAGCATTGGAAAACAGAAATCTGTGGGCTGTCAGCACGGTGAGGAAGAGGCATCTTGGTGGAAAATGCTGATATATTGAAGTAAAGTTATTTGTGTGAACAGCTTATCCTGCTGGATATCTCCATCCATGAGTTAGAAGTGCTGTGTGTCCCTCCCTCAACCACATCCCAAGGGGATGTAATCCCCCAAACCCATCCCCAAGACTCTGGCACTGAAATACATTAAGATATCAGTTGGGTTTCTATAGCTCAGCGGTGAGTTCCCTATGTTTAACCTGCAAAGCCTGCATCCATTTGCTTTTTTCTGCCTTTTCCTTCTTCATCTAACCTTGCACGATGGGAACAACCAGTGCAGCTCAGTTCGTTTGAACTTTGGTTATATTTTTAGCATCCTGCTTCTTTCATATTCCCAGTCGTACCGGCTGAATCACGATGGCAAAGACAATGTCCTTTATTATATTGTGGAAGGGTGGTTTTTTTTTTCCTTTTTTTTTCTGCTCTTTATTTTTCTAAGCTCGCAGGAGGCAGGAAGTTCCCAAATTTCACTCCCAGCCGCTTCATACGGTGTCACTCCAAGTGCCAAAGATCACACTCCTTCTCCTCTGCTCCCAGTCTTTCTTTCTCTCCCCTTTCTCAGAACAGCAAAGCAGGAAGGGTGAGGGCCAGGAAAATCTGAAATGATTTTCCCCTTGTTTTGTAACGAAACTTAAAAAACAACGGCGAAAAAAGAAAAAGGGACAAGACAAGAACATCAGTCAATCATGTACCTTGGGCCTGGGCCAAATCAAATTAACTCCTGGGCAGTTTGTTCCATGCGAAGGTGACAGCAGGACTTCCATGCGCTACGCTCGCCATCGCCGCGCTGAGATTTCCTCTCCTAGGATCCATTTCTGTGCAGAATTTCCACCACGGTGATGACTTGGATCAGACCCCTGTTGCTGGCAGCTCTTAAAATCAAAGCTCTCATTATTAGCACTGGTCAAAACACATCTTTTTAGTGTTTTTTTTTTTTTTGTTGGTTTTTTTCTGAGTAACTGGTGAGAAACAGTTGCATTTCAGAAATATTGCTGCAGTTGGGGATAACAAGGTAGAAATGTTCCATGAAATGAAATTTTCAGTGGTAATAATGATGATAATAATAATTACAAAACATCAAAAAGCTTGATTATCTCCTTTATTCTTTGGAAGAACTTCACTTGACTCGTGCTGCCTGCTCTATACACTGTGTGAATGAACTGTAGACATTTTTTACCTATAGGATACGTAGTCCCACCAAGAAGTCAACCTCAAATTGAGGAGAAGAAAGGAAAATCGGTGTTACAGTGCTGCAATCTCTTGTGGAGAACAGAGCATTGTGCTGGAGAGCTCATGTGTAGCTCACCTCTTCCATTTGGGGCTGGAGTTCAGCACTGATGACTTCGTGCCCTCATTGCCTGCTTGAAGTCTTCCTGCTGTGGGGGGCAATTATTGCAATAAAAGAGACTTTCAAGCAGAATTTGTTGGGTAGGGTGACTCCATCCATTCAGGTGAGGTGCTCTGTCCCTGTAAAACCTCAATTCTCTAGGAACAATTTCATTTTACGGGTGTGGTTTGTGAATGAGAAAGCCATATGGGCTGAAATCTACGAACACTGCATAGGAATAGTACTCAGTATTGGACAGAAATTATTTATAATGGTTATTAATTGCAAAATAGCTGTGATTTTAAGTGTAGCATCTGTACTACTCCCAAAGCTCTACTCTTGCAAGAGCAGAAATGGGAGCTTTCTTTTTGGAAACACATAATTCACTGTTTATCTGCAATTTCTTTTGGTCAGTTCAAATTGAATGCTGCTTCCTTTGTTGCTTTGGCTCCTAGAAAATGGAGTGGGTGGGTTCATTACACAGTAGGTGCACGTGTTCAGAAAGTGCTTTGGGGGATTACTACTTAAACCAAAATGTCAGACAGAATCATTAAGGTTGGAAAAGGCCTCTATGATCATCAAGTCCAACCGGTGACCCATCACTGCCATGCCCACTCATAAGTCGTTCAGGTTGGAAAAGAACTCTATGATCAAGTGCAACCATCAACCCCCACCACCACGTCCACTAAATCATGTCCCTAAGATGGTGACACCCAATCTCCACGCCCTCTTAGTGAGACAACCAAAAGGCACTTGGACAGCCAGGTGCAATGGTGTGCTTGTTGGGCACGACCATGATCACAGTGAGGTTCAATGAAAGAGCCAGACACAGAAAAACTCCTTAAATTTGACATTTTATTTCATTGCAGAAGAAAATCCAACATAGGCCTCATTATGTTATGCATCTTCAATTATAAAAATAAGCAAAGAAAATAACTTGCATCTTTCTCATTACTATGATATGTTTCAAATAACCTTTATATGAACACACTGAGCTTTAAAAATGTAATTTAAACAATAAATAATGACATATACCAGATATGCTCACTGTTTATTCCAGTACTCAGCAAAAAAACAAAAACAAAAAACCAAAACTCTCTCCCCCTTCTAAGTATCTTTAAATTATAAATACATAATGCAAATTTATAATGGCACAAAACATCTAAAGTGCAAACAAATCACAATGAGAATCATGCAAACATTTCTAGATAAGCCCCTCCCCGCCTCCGAGAGAAATCATTTCTGCAGTGAACGCAAGATTAAAAAAATAAAGCATCAGAGATTAAATAAAGTGTGAAATAGCTGGACTTACTGTTGAGAATCATTCCCCATCTCCAGGGGGATTTCTCTCACCTAATTCAGACCATACCCATGGGGCACCGTTCCCAGTCGATGGGAAACGCCACCATGTCCCCCTCTGCTGATAAGGGAGAGTTTAAGTGACCAGCTTAGGCTAAAAGTTTGGCAAGGTGAACCCCAAGTCTTTGGATTTTTTCTGTGCTTGCAGCTTCCTCACTGAATCATTGATGTTGGAAGACCACTAAGAGCATCTGGTCCAACCACCAACCCATGCCCGTGACCTCGTGACAAAGCCAAACAAGCCTTGGGTTCCCACTGAAAAAAAAAAGATAAGTGAGGAGAACCCAAAAAGTTTGGGTTTGGACTCCCAACCTTAAATCAACTTCATAAAGCTTTGGGTTTTCATAGAAGTGCTGCACAAAGCAGCAGAGAAACCAATTGCCACCAGAGCATCTAGACGAGCTCATTGAGCTCTACTGGCATCAGCCCATGGGGAAGTCAGCTGGGAGCTGCTTTCTATTGCCCAGAGCCATCCTGCTGGGACACTCCAACCAAGTGACATCTTTTTGGAGCCACTGCCCCCCCAAAATACACGCACTCAATGCACAACCCCAGCAGATCTCCCAGTTGTGGTGTAACGCTGCACAGCGCACAGCCCCAGGGCTAGATCTTCAGCAAGAGCCAAACTTTTAGGGTCACGGTGTTCAAAGGAACTTTGGTTTTCACCTTGCAAAACTTTATGGTGTCGGACTCTATATACACCTGACTTTAAGAACGAGCAATATTGCATCTTGTTTGTCCTGGACTGCACGATTCTGAGTACTCAAAAACAAAACAAAACGAAAACCCCAACCCTCTACCGTCAGCAACATTTTTTGCTGCTTACAATTTCACGACAGCACTTTTGGGCTACATTTAATGAAGACAGCAGTATGAGAAATGCTGCCACTGCATCTGGTTTCAATATATTAGCAGCAAGTTATTGTTTAAAGGCTTTGTGGTTAAAAAAAAAAAAAAAAGAAAAAAAAAGGAAAGAAAGAAAAAAAGAGGAAAAGAAAAAAAAAAAGAGTTATATTGCTTTAGATTTCGAAAAGAAAAAAAATAGATACCTCCTTTATTAGCTCTCTAACTAGTTGAGCAAGAGTCATCCACGCCGCAGACAGGCTCCAGCGGGACAGATTTTGGAGCTGGCCGTGCCGATCGCGTGCCACAAAGGGCTACTGTGCAGAGAGCGGCGTCGGGGGAAGGCCCCCATCCGCGGCCGTGGGACCGGCCCTGGTCCTGTTGGCGGAGGCTGCGGGAGAGACGGGTGGGAGGAAAGGCAGGTCTGAGAGCTTCACGCATGCGCCTTGCTTTGCTGCAGGAGCTTACGATACTTTTTTTCTCAAGATTTCCTGCCTTTCCCCAGAAATGACCTTTCTATGGGAAGTTTTGCCTTTGGGATCCCAAAGAACCGCCTGGCGTTCCCCCCAGCAGCTCTCCAGCAGCCTTGGGTACAGCTATGGCCACTCTGAGCTCCTTTTGCTTTTCTCTTCCCCATTTCAGCTACGAAGAGAGGTTTGTTTCTGGCCAAACGTTTTCTCTCTTCTATTATAAAAAGGCCACAGAGTAGAAGGTGAGCTCTCAAATATGACAGAGATACTATTTCCAGGAAAAAAAAAGAATAGCTAACTTACAAAACTAGGTTTATGCAATAAAGTTATTATATTCTGCTCCTGTCAAGCAGACTCTCATGGAATTTATGTACAGTACATGACAGATTTTAAAACTATTTATACCACAGTTAGAGCAAGACCTTTAATACTCTTGTCTTAAGACAGGGTTTGTTTTTGTTAACTTCTCTTAAAGCTTTAGACAGTTAAATACAGTACATAGATGTTAGCTTTTAAATACAATGCAATATTATGTAACCTTCTGACTAGCTTTAACCATAGACTGGCACCGCTTTTAATCATTTCCGTAGTACAAAATGTTCCTTTCCTGATTTTCTGTGTGTCGGGGGAGGGGGGGTGATTTGGGCTCATTTTGCACTGTGGTGCCAGGTCATGGTGATGAGAATCACCCACAGCTAGTGAGTTTGGTAAACCAACCAACGGGTTCGTAAACCAACGAGTTAAAGGAGCTGTGTTGGAAGAATTAGGGACTGCATGACGCTAAGAGACCAGGAATATGACATTCATATTCGTCCATGGCCAGCACAGATTCATAACACGAATTCCACTGACATCATTAGGATGTGCAATAGTTGTTAGTGCATCTATCGTCGCCTACCAGCTTGCTACGAGCGAGAATCGGCGATTCTCCTGGGTGCCAAATCTTCAGACCTCAATGGTGTTAGTGCTACAGTACTTTAGGGTTTGGTGTCTGAAGGCCTGACTGCTGCACGGTTCTACTTGAGACTAGGATCGTTTGGGATCACTTTTTGTGGGGAAGAAAAGAGGGATGGAGACATTTTGACGGCGGGAAAGCTGAGACACTGAACACAGACCCATGCAAAAGTTGGTTGGAGAGGAATAGAAAATATCAATGACTAAATCTAAAACCAGTTCCTAGTTGTTATTAAAACTAGCTACAGTACACTTGGTTTGGGTGCATTACTCTTCTAGAAGAGAGACTTCAGCTTTGGTAGTGCTTAGCATCCCTTACACCCATCGCGCGGCCGAGGCGTTACGCGCTTTCGGCAGAGCTGCGCTTGGCGTGGGCTGGGCTGGACCCCTCACCTCGGAGGTTCCTGAAGTAGAGTTTGAGCTTCTGCGGCTCCGTGATGCGTCTCCTGGCGAAGTCCGTGCGCGGGTGGCCCTGGGCGCAGTGGTCTGTTTGCAGCAGGTGGAAGAGGCTCGCCATGTTGGGCCCGATCTTCTCCATCAAGCTGTCCTTGATGGTGCTCACAGTCTCTTCGTCACACTCCAGTAAGCTTCTCACCAGCTTGTTGTAATACCTGCATGACAGACTCTGTTACTCAGTCTCCCTATGGCGTGACCAAAGAAATGAGGTATGAGCTGATCCCAAGCCAGCAGCACTACCCATGCAGCAAGACTACGGAAAGCAGAGTTTTAAGTCGTTCAGGATACGTTCATAGAAAAACAGGGGCTGGAATCTTAGAATCATAGAATGGCTTGGGTTGGAAGGGACATCAAGGATCATCAAGTTTCAACCTCCCTGCCACATGCAAGGCTGCCAGCTACCAGATCAGTGCTAGATCAGGTTGCTCAAGGCCCCATCCAACCTGGCCTTAAACACCTCCAGGGACAGAGCATCCACAACCTCTCTGGAAAGTTCCAGCACCCCAGTGGAATGGTTCAGGATGTGTTCATAGTCAGAGAGGTTGGAAAAGATGTTAAGATCATAGAATCATAAAAGCTTTTGAGTTGAAAGAGACCCTTAACAGCCATCTGGTTCAACTCCCCTGCAATGAACAGGGACAGCTGCAGCTCCATCAGTGCTCAGAGCCCTGTCAGCCTGACCTTGGCTGTCTGCAGGGATGGGGCATCCACCCTGAGGAGCTAAGTCGGTGTAACTGGCTTAAGCATGTGTTTTATTCTGCTCAACACCTCAAGCTTCTAAAGCTTCAGAAAGAAAAATAATCGCTTCTTTCCAATAGGCAGATACAGCCAGGATGGCCCTTCCTACAAAGGAATCCATCCCTGTGGATCTGGTCCCACAGCTCTGGTCCCATCCCCTTTTCTCCTCCCTTCCCTTCCATATAGAGAAGGACTAGAGGAGGGAGAAGCAGCTCAGCTCAGAGCCTGACAGATGTGTGCACTCCCTGGGGACAGATCTTTGGGATATACAACTGCCACTTGTGGTGAGCTGACTGTGCATTAAACCACACGCGAGGACCTTCTGCTTTCCCCTGTTGCATGCTTGCCTACTGCTGCCAACTCAGCCCCAAGCACACGTTCTTTGCAGGAGAAGGGACCCAGGAAATTGTGCTGATTGGTTTCCCCAGCACTGCTTGAGCTGAGCGGAGCATGGAACTATGGCAGCACGCAGCCCTGTGTGCACCTCATGCATCTCCCTTACAGGCAGAAAGTTGGGAAAAGAGGGGCAGTCCCATATGTTCTGGGCCACTTCTGCCTGAAAGGACAACGGGGAACTTATTTTAAGCCTTTAAGGTCACCGTGACATTTTTCCACGGGAGCAGAGAAGAGAACAACCTGCAAGAGGAGGAGGGGAAGGAAGAGGGAAATGGGACTTTGCATTCAAGCTCCTTTCCTTGTGTTCAGCTCTGCCCTTTAGAGCTGTCAGTGGAGGTCAGGTGAGGTTAAATTTCTCCTGCATTCGAAGTACAAAAGGAGCAGAAGCATGGCAGTACTGTCATTGGATCACACACAGATGATGGTGAATGCATCTGTGCAAACCATACAGGGCACGAAGGACAGATCCTACCCACTGCCCAGCACCATGCAATCACATCAGAGTGCTTTCCATTGCTGGAGCTGCAACCTGGCGGCTGCTGATGCCTCTCTAGGCTGAGAGCAAAAGCAGCAAGGCTTTCCTCTGCCCATGCCATGAGATTAAATCACAGGAAGATGCTATGACCTTTAACTACTTCCTCCTGGTGTCCCAGGCCAAGTGGCACATTCTTATTCTGACGCTATGTTGGGACAGGGGCTGGGAAAGCAGGATGCTTTAGGAGACCTTCATGTAAACTATTAGCTGGGAAATCCTGCTGCTTTTGTTACTCAACATGTCATAATATCCTTTGGCTTCGAGGCGGGCTGGCAGTGGTGGGGGAGGCGTTCCCTCTGCCTGGGGACAGAGCAGCTCTGCGTTAGGCATGGGAGGAACATCCCATCCACATGCAGCATCACTGCTGCTCCCTCTATGGTTCTTGTCCCTAAGTCCCCCTTTGCCCCACTGCCCCGCAACCCTGCTATCCCTGGTGCAAACTGTGCAACGTGCTGCTGCTCTACATCCCAACTCACATTTATCTGGGGGAAGAAAGAAGAAAAAGCCACACTGGAGCTCCTGGCTTGGTGGACAATGAGTTCAGTCACCTACCAACTCCCTTCTTGCTGGAGGAATTGCCTTCCCCAATGTATGATTTTCTGGATATCTACAATGCAGTTTTCAGTGATGAGTTCATCCTGGATAGAGATGAAATACCTATATATCATCATCCCACCTATGCTCACATAGGTCTGAAGGCTTAGTATGCTTCTTGATGAAGTCAAACAGCCACCCCAGAGGAGCTCCAGCAGCTAGCCAACGCGTTATATTGCAGCTCGGTCTGTTTGCACTCAAATTCTAAGAGCATATTTACTCAAACTGCTCAAAAAGATCCCTTTTATCCCAATCACAAGACTCAGCACTGATTGTTCCAGGATTTAGAGGAAGAAATCCCTGCCCTTGCAGCGTGACTGCGCAGACTGCAGCAGCTCCCTGAAGCCTCTCTGTCCCTTGTCCTTGGAGATGGGGACAGGTCAGGTCTGTGCTCAGATAAAGCACAGAGAGCAGCGTGACGTGGCCATTCCTGCAGGCAGCCCTTGCTAGCAAGGAGGAACAGGGGTGAAACAACCCTAAAAGAGATCATTAGGAACACCAGACTATCTCTAGAACATGCTCTACTGGCTCATGCCACAGTAAGGTTACTGGTTTACTGGTTTACAATCTGTTTACTGGTTCCATTTCAGCCTTCCTAATTCTTCATATCTGGACCTTCATTTGACATCAAGCTCATTTGCCAGGTACCAGAAAACCAAAAAAGAAGAGAATGAAGTTGCAATAGGTTGAGCAGCTCTTATGTGCTCAATCTGATGGATGCTATATTAATCATACTGGATTGGTACTGAGAAGGTCTGTTTGCCTTCTGCATTCAGTGAAAAGTCTTCTGCATTCAAACCAAAAGAACCAACATTTAAACCAGCTCCAGGCATTGAAGCAATGTATGTGAATGTCAATTTTACAGCTCTCCCCCAGAGGTGTTTATAAGTGTATTTATCGAAAAGAGAATCAGAAGAATGCTGGTAAAAATTAAGGATTTGAAAAGGCACAGCATTACAGAGGCTGAGCTGCATTAGGGCTCATAAGAAGTTAGAAATGTGAGGAATCAAACTGACCTTCTCTATGCTTACTATTTTTGAGTTGGATCGCATGAAGGGTTGGATTGGAAGGGACCTCAAAGATCGTAGAACCACAGGATGGGATGGGATGGAAGGGATCTTAAAGATTACAGAACCATAGGATGGGATGGAATGGAAGGGACCTTAAAGATTACAGAACCGTAGGAAGGGCTGGGTTGGAAGGGACCTTAAAGACCATCCAGTTCCAACTGGATTTTCGTGTTGGATTTTGTGTTGCATTCTGGCCACGTACCGGTTTGAGAACTGATTTGGGAGCTGCACGACCTCTGTGATGGCTTCAGGATTCCGCTTTGCAATGCCACACATGTCCAGCTTGCTGTAGCACTCCTCCTGCACTTCGGAGATCATTCTTTGGAACGTGGAGCACCTCCGGATGGCGAGGAACACCTTGGATGTGACTCCATTGGCGATGCATTTCAAGCTTTCTTTCACAAAAGCTTTTCCCTGCAAACAGAAGAAAACCCTTAAAATGCAATAGATTTCATAGAAAGGGATGTAATAACAAACGCTCTGCTATGGCTGGCTGCTATTAATTACCCTTCCTGCAATTACAGACCTGCTGGAGGCCTCTTACCAAGCATGGCAGGGAGCTGGACCACAAGTGCTCTGTTATTGCAGCGTAGTTAGGAGGCAGAACAGCGAGCTCCTGTTCCCAACAGCTTTAAGCAATGGAAGCATTGGTGTGAGCAGCCCACAGCTTTGGGAGTACCAGCACCAGGGATGGACCTAATCCTGCCCTCCACTCTGTACACCAGGGGCTGGACGCATGGGAACACATACACTTGGGGATGGAAATGATGGAAAAGAACCTCTGGCAGAACCACAGAGCTGTGATATTCTCCTATTCATCCTGCTGCAGCTCTGGAGGGGCTGATCTGGCCGTGCATTCCCAGACCCGGAGACTTCCAATTCAAACCCCAGCCCCGTGCCAGGTCCCACAGTCAGAGGACTCACTTTGTTCAAAGAACGTTTATATTTCCTCCTGAAGAGGAAACTTCGCTCTCCGCCCCACTCAACGCTCCCTGCCAAGTCCTCACACATAGAGTACAGTATGTGGAAAATGTACTGCAGAAAATAGCCCTGAAGGATGCGCCTGTGGCCAAACCCCAACACTGTGGTTCAAAGGAGCGGCCAAGAAGAACTGCAAGAAAGGAAGGGTTAAGCCTGCACAGAGGAAAGAGAAATGAAGGCGTACCATACCTGAGTGTCAAATTTAGCAGCGCTGTAGAGGAAGGACTTGCAGATGTCGTACATTCCATCCGTGTCACACGTGGAGTTCTCCAGACAGGCAAAAGCCCCACAGCCCACCTGGAGGGCACTGTTCAGGCAGCGAACCACCTCGGCTGCGGAGAGAAGCACAAGGTTAGTGCCCATCACCAACACCGAGCTGTGGGCCGTGTCATGCCCAACTGTTGGGCAACTGTTCCTTGGGATGGGGACAGAGGGGACAAAGAGAGGCAAAAGGCTCTGCAAAGCAACAGAAATCGTGGAACTGCAAACTGAGGAATAGAGCCTTCAACTACCAAAACATTCAGCGGGTTACTGTGGATTAAAAGAGAGGTGGGAGCTGTTGGTCTTTGGGTAGATGGAGACTTGGAGGTCCATCCTAACCTAATTCTCATGGTGTGCACCCATAACATTACTCAGAGCTCCCATGGACAAGGGAGAAGCAAGGAGAATGGCCCCGTGAGCTCATCCCTAGGGTCATAACGGAATCATACAGTGTTTGGGTTGGAAGGGACCTTACTGATCAGAGAGCCATAGGACTGGTTGGGTTGGAAGGGACCTTAAAGATCATCTACTTCCAATGCCCTGATGTGTTAATTTTCAGTGCTACAAAGGACTTGAACAAGCAGCTTGGTGCTAATATGGTACGCAGCAACGCACAAGCGTAGCTGAGAAAGGTTATGCAGCTGAAGATCTGCACAGAGAAGCGACATGTGGGCACAGAAAGTTAAGGCAATGAAGATGACCATGCATAATTAACATCTGTGAGGCAGGAGCCGGTCTGCGCAGAGGGATATCCATGTCATCTCATCTTTTTTAGTGCAGATAGTATGCATTTTAACAATGAATCAGCAGTATTGCCACATGATTGCCCCTAAGTTAGTAGGGATTAACCTTTTTTGGTAAACTGAACATCTGTCCCCTTATGTGTCTGTGCAAGGCATATTCATTACTTTCGCAGATCATGTTACCAGACATTCTTTAGGAAGAAATGCAAACCCTGAGTCTCCCATCGAGATCCTAGGTGTGGGAAAAGTGAGGGTTTGCATTTAGTGGAAGAGGAAACACCTTACACAGAACTAAGTTGTAGCCTAAAGATGTATCTTATACCTAGGAGAAAATAAAATTAACAAAAATCGCCCAATTAACCCCTCCTCACGCTCTGCCCCTGCTTACATGCCTGAAGGGAGAAATATTTGGTAAGATCATCCTCTTCCCAGTTCATAACCTCACAAGTCATTCCCATAATTATGCTTCCACAGGTTCAAATTATAACTTTGCTTTCAGCAGACTTAGTATGCATTAAGCTTTTATTGTTTTAGGCACAGTGCAATAGTGAGACCCTATGTTTCTATAGCAACCAAATACAAAAGGAAATTGAGCAAACACCCTAGTATAATGCTGCAGAGCCTTGCAGATCTAAAATAAGACATCTGTTAATGAGCTCCGAATTAGAGACATAATATCTTTTCAGTATACTTAGAAGAGAGATTTTTAATTTCCATTGTTCAAGACAATGTGTCCAACTTATCTACGCATCTATAGTGCTCAAAGTGGAGAGACTCCAGTGCTGACTTGCCAGCAATTTTTTTTTAATCTATTGTAAAAGCAACTTTGCTAAATGTCACAAACGTATTTTTACAGTACCATCTAACTGATAGCAATCAGTTTGTGGAAATAAATGCTGGCGGCGGACAGTTTCTAGGTTACTGCATTCTTCAAAGTCACACATCTCCCCCCCTCTCTGAGCAGACAGATGTTTGGCAGAACAATGGTTCAGCCAAATTTCCACGGATTTTATCAACTTCCTAAAAAGCAAAGAATTTCACTGCAGGGGAGTTGGACCGGATGACCTTTAAGGGTCCCTTCCAACTCAGGAGATTCTGTGGTTCTATGGATTTAAAGTAGAATTGCGATGGGAGAAGAGAGAGATACATGCAAGCAGAAGGGGAAAAAGTGCACAGAACTCATTTAGTAGATGGGGGAGGAGGCGAGAGAATGAATTACATCCTGCAAGCAGAGCACACACCGGTTCCTGACCCAGCTCTGAATGAAGCTATGCACCAACATCATCCTCAACCAACCCCTTACGTTAATGCTTGCTCCTACCAGTTTATAAGGAAAAGAAGAACCAAAAACAAAATAGAGGAAAAGATAAAAATAAAAATCAGCAGGAGGAAAATCTGAAACAGTGGAACCCATCGGGGCTGAGGCTCAGAGCCCTCCTTCTGGCTGTTACCTGAGTTCTGGGCTGCAACCCTGGGCTTCCTGGGGCTCACAGAGTCATTCTGTTCAGCTTCGTAGGACGCGGACGCACTGATCACCAGCAGCAGCAGCAAACCAGACTTTAGGAGCATTCTCTGACAAGTTTCCGCTAAGTGTGGCTTTTTGGCTTTTTTTTTTTTTTTTTTTTTTTGGTGTATGTGTTCTTCCACTCCGGCTCGAGCAAAGATGTGGAGCTGGATGGGAATGCAAGGAGCGAGCCCGGGCTTGGGGGGGGGGGAATCGCTGCCCTGCAATGCGTGGTGACCCCTCCGGCTGCGCTCAATGGGGGACCGGGAGCAGCGCTGAGGGCTTTTATAGCCGCCCTTATCGGTCCCCCGCGGGCTGCCGAGCCAATCGCGAGGCGTTGGGCAGAGCCAATGGCAGAGTGGACTCATTCAAAGCCCTCCGAAAACTGCAACTTCACAGGAAGAATATTTTCCAGCCCATTAAAAGTACCTGCCAAACGACGAGCATCAAAAAGTTCATCGGTGGGAAAGGGGAAAAGGGAGAGGGGGGTGGGGGGGATGGGAGGGCACTTCCCATGGAGGATTGAGCTCAAGGAAATGACAGCGCGGCCCGAAATCTTCCCCCACTCCTAAAAAGTCACCTGCCCTTTAAGGAAAGATATTTTCCCATCTGTTCGCAGCGATCCCGTGGAAAGAAGGAGGGAGGGGGCTCCGGGCAGCCCCATGGCAGATCCGGGTCCATGGGTGTAGGGAACGGCATCGCCCAGTGCTGTGTGCTCACCCCAACCCCACACCCCCCGCGGCTCACGTAGGCACATGCAAATACCCCAAACCCTGCTCCCCGTGCTCAGTGCTCCTTATCTCACACAATTATGTTAATAAAATCGCGCGTTCAGCTCAGACCTCAACACGATCCTATAGAGCTGCTCCTGCTTCGAAGCGAAAGGATTTGGGGGGGTTGTTTGGTGGTTTTCCTCCCCCCTCGCTCAAGTCTGTTCTTCTGATTTCATAACGGGAGGAGGCAGCCTGGTGCCTGAGTTAGGCTTCGTTTTAATGGGCACATAATGAGGATTAGCACACGACAGAACTGATTATCCTATAGCAGAGACAATTTAAGGCTCTGAGGATTTAAAGGATGAAGGTATGAACAGCAGTCAGGCTGAAAAGAAATCCTGAAGGTGCTCGGAGACAGATTTATAGATAAAAAGTCAGAAATTCCGTCCACTTTCAGTAAGTGAAGGGATTTGGATACCAGCTATTACTGATCAGAGAAGAGACAAAACACTCTCATCTCTGCAATGGCCGTGACACAGATCCAACAGATTCCTACACGCATCCGTGCACAGAAGTCACATTCAGCTCGGAGGAGCTGACAAACCTGCCCTGAGCGGAGGTGCAAAAACCCTTTGCCTCATTCATGCATCCAGGTTTATGAGCGGCTCGATGGAAAAGCCAACGAGGAAGGAGCAGAAAGGAAAAACCTGGGTTTGACAGCTCTGCTCGTGACAGTGGGGAACACTCTGGCTCCGAGCACTGGTGACACTGTCGGTGTCAGCTCCAGTTGGAATAGGAGCAGGAGCGAGGTTGTGCTCCTGCCTTGGGGTCAAAAAAACAGCTGGGCCAGATGTTCCAAGAGTGCTCCAAAGGCACTGAAACAGAAGGGTTTCAGGTTTCGGCTCAGCGTTGTGACACTGAGCCAATTTCATTAAATTAGAAAAAAAAAAAAAAAGGAAAAGAAAAAAAAAAAACCAAACCCAAAAACAAAAAAACAAAAACCAGCCCTGCAAAAGCACTGTGGTTTCTCTGTTTAATAGGACCAGTCCAGTTTGCAAGTGAGAATAATCCCATGGGGTTTGATTCTGATTAAATCAAAAGCAACTCTGGCATTGACTTCAATGGGGGATGAATCACCACCCTATCTAAGTCCTATTTGGAGTGGAAGCATTGCATTTTCCACAAAATTGAATTTCAAATTCAAAGCCCGATTCCTCCACCCCTTCACCCCCAAGGTGAACATTCCTCCTGGTCTTTTTTCAGTGTTTTGATCTGAACTGGAATAGTTTGCAAAGCAAAACAGATACGTATACAAGCACGTATACATCCTGATTGGAGTCCAAGCTACGAAAGAGTTCCTATAGATCCCATAATACCTCCAACACATTTTCTACTCTTTCTCCTATCGTTATTCCAGGGCTGACTGACTCCTTTAGGGCTATACATGCTATAGAGTTTGTACCTGCTGTAGATTCCCAAATCAACCCATTCTGAGGATGAATAGCAATAGAAAGAGATGAGATGTAATGGCAACAACCTCTACAATACGCAGAAAAACTTGCTCAAATCTCCAACTATGAAGGCAGCACTTTCCCTACTGCTTTAAGAAAGCTGGAAAACAAATTTGGGAGTGAAGGACCCACACTGAGTTGCTGTAGTAGAAAATTATTTGTGTTCTTTAATACCAGAGTGCATTTGCATTGGTTATTTTGCATACTGAGGGCAATGAGGATTGTAAATCCCCATGAAACTTGCATTTTACCAATGGGGATTGGCTTCTCTCTTGCACTCTGAGCTCCAAGAAGACTTTGGGACACAAGAAGAGTATCTATCATGGAATATTTAAATGCGGAATATTTTTTATGGAATATCTATTATGGAAGAACATTTTCCTTATAAGTCTTCCTTCCTCTTATTAATACCTGGCCCAGATCTGAGAAATGCCATCAGGAGAGAAAAAGCCCCTCAAAATAATAATAAATATTGTAATTACAAGGGTCTGACTCAGCATTTCTAAAGGCTCAGTGTAACCTGCTGGAAGGATTTCCTCCTTCCCTCCCCTTTGGATAAATGCTGCCCCAAAGCAGAAGGATTCCTATTGCAAACCTTTCTTTTCTGCCTGATACATGTAAGGGGGAAAAAAAAAAAGGCACTGTTAGTCCTGCGCAAAGCAGCCCCTCCGTGCCGTTCCCATTCAAGAGATCCCATTAAATCAAACACTACTCCCCATTGTACCATCCTTCGCCTATTCCCAAGGTGTTATGATTTTTGTCCAACCTCACAAAGAAACACAAAGGCAGCAGGGAGGAGGGTGGGGGGGGGAAGTAGGGGTGGAAGAGCGAAAGACGATGAATAAAAGAGGGGGACCCAAAGCCAATCATCCCCCCTCACCCCCCCCTCCCCGCTTTGTGCTCAGCTGCCTTTGTGTAACTCGATGCCTGCCCACCTTTCAGCCCCCTCCCCAGCCCGGTCCCATTGCATTCGCTGCTGCTCCGGAGGGACGTGAGCAACTGCAGCACCTCGGAGTTATCCACGCTCGGTTGCGTCGGCCCCGCACGTCGGCTGCGAACGGCACGGCGACACTTTGGCACACACGTCCACAGCCACCCCACCCTTTCCTCGCGGCTCGGCCGGCAGCCGGCTCGGTTACGGTGCTCCAGGGGACGGCTGCGGAGCCGCGTCGTGCTGCGCTGAGCATGCGTCCTCTGGTTTAGATTGGATTTAGAGGGATTTCCCAATGGAGATGGTGATCAAGCATTGGGATGGCCTTCCTAGGGGAGTGGTAGAGTCCCCATCCCCGGAGGTATTTAGGAGATGTGTGTACGTGGCACTAGTGGACATGGTTTAGTGATGAGACTCAATGGGTCTCCAACGAGACTCCGGTCATCAGCTCAGTTGAGTCACTGTCAATTGGGTTCTCCTTCTCTTCGGTGGCCAAAACGAAGCAAAAAAAATAACCCATATTGGGCATTTTTGTGAAAAACACAACTCCACGGCACCCAGTTTTGTTGGGCTTTTTTTTTGCCCCATTCTGGCCACAAACTCAAGCTGATGGCTGGAGTCTCACTGGAGACCTATGGAGTCCAACTCAAGCTGATGGCTGGAGTCTCACTGGAGGCCTATGGAATCCAACTCAAGCTGATGGCTGGAGTCTCACTGGAGGCCTACGTAGTCCAGCTCAAGTCAATGATCGAATGAGATGCTCCGGAAGGTCTTCTCCAAACTCAACGATTCTGTGATTCTATGCACTGAACGTCATGGGAAAGGAGCAAACTCTGGGCCTTGACAGCTCGCCAGCCGCCCGTGCACATCTTGCCAGACCAGCTCCTCAACAGGTGCACATTAGGCTAACCGCCGAATTCAATATTCGCCCTTCATCTGCGCCATCCTTCTGATGCGTCACTGCATGCTGTCTGGATGCGATTCCTCGTTGCGGAGTTATAAACCAGGAGTAGCTTCAATTACACGGACAGTATAAAAGCAAAGTAAGGGAGAGGCTAAGCAGAACCTTTTAATCTGCTTAGCCCAAATGAATAATCCCGACTGCACCGGAGTCAGTGATGTCAGAACTTGTTCCAAGAGGCAGGATGCAAGTTGAGTTACCTGGGTGTCTGCCCCAACAAAGCTACTGGGATCCGACTCGTTGGCCTTCGCTCCACAAACCTGGCAGCGAGGAGAACGAAAAAAAAAAAACAAAAAACAACAAACCTGCTCGCAATTTTCCTGCTAAACAAAGGGATTTAATAATGCTGGTTTATATGCAAAAAGTCAGAATAGGTTTAATTGGGTCGTGACCGCTGTATGTTTAATGTACAATTGCTTAATGCCCAAGACAAGGTTGCAACTATTGTCTTGTGCTGCATTTGGGTTAATTGTTAAAGCAAGTTAAAGGTGTTCTCGTGTTGCTGTACTACATGATTTATTCACTCCATACAATTTGATTTTTTTAATAAAAGCAATTATGTATTTTAGTATATCTCTGCTAGGCTTGTTTTATATCTTGTAAATGCAGTATGTACGATGAAAAGCGATTAATAATAATAACCCAGCATTACTTGTAATCCCATTCTCTAAATCCCAGCTGCCTGTTTCAATGGGATTTTGATTAAGCCCGGATGTGCGCTATGCATTAGAAATTAAGAACTTTCAGCACTCAATTCACAATACCTGGCTGTGATTTGGCCACTGGAAGTACCCCTCAATGGAAGGTAAAACCAACCCCCTGGCTGCACTGCAGACAGCTTTCCTCCACTATTACCAAGCGTCCACAGCCACCAGCTTGGAGAGAATTCTGAAACACAGAGTTAGTGCAATCCTTCCAGCCCCTCATGTTTGCTTTCCTCTCTTGAGCCCAAATCCACAATTCATTTAGCTGCAGCAAGAGTCAATCCTAACCCTGCGTTGAGGGACGCCCACATTTCCATGCGACCCCCATTCTGCCCCAAACCTCACCGTAAATCCTTCCCCCTCTCTGCTCCACAGCCTGATGACACCAGCAAATATCCAAATAGTTT